GCGTTTTCAGACATAAAAATGCGTTCGGTGTGATCGGGGCCTAACACTGGCTAAGAGAAAATTAATAAAGTAACAAGGACCAATTTCCAATTAGCCAACACTAATTACCATAATGGTGACACTTATACTTTTTAGGCAGTATATATACTGTAGACTGCATTGATGTAACAGTTGAACTCTGAATACAGTGTCATCAAGAAATTAGTAACATCCTTGAAATATTTTTAAAATATGTTTATATCATTGCCACCTACTCTTACAATCACAAAATACATGACCTGCTTTTACCTTTCCTGTTTGAATCTCAAAGCACCCTGCTATAATCTACTCTTTTTATCTCCTTCTCTCTCCAGCAACAGATGGAGTTCCCGTGCAGAAGGATGGGGAACAGGTAAGGGAGCTGCCTATTACACCAACATAAATATACTAAATTAGCCAAATCTCTCAACAGTGCTGACACGCTTTGACACTCCTCACCACAAATTCCTGTTCGGCGGGGAAAAGCATCCTGCTCCAAGATGGAGGCCAAGGTGTCCAAAACAGGAAGAGATTATCTCAGTTAGGGAAGTGAGCCAGCTCTCCACCTTAACCGCAGAAAGACATTGTTAGCATAATAGCCTAGTTAACAGCATGTAGTTTAGTGCTTACCAGAACTGGCTTGTAGTTTGGTGTTATTGTCGTTAGCCTTTACTTTTGGTTAAGTTTGTGTGCTCCAGTCCCCCACACTCCTAAGAGCTGACCCAGAAAGCAGGCTTATAGTATTTGCCTTCAGCTATACAGTGACACTGGAGACTGATTCTGGGTCTGCGCTTAAGGGAGGGATTATGATTTTTCTCAGTGGATGCTCCGTATCATCATTGACACATCACTTTGCTTGCTTTTATTTCTTCTTACGTCTTCATACATATTGCTGGTAAATTTGAATGAGTAAGCACATTCATTTTATCTCACAAAAAGCATATGTATAAGATTTGCTCCCTCCCTCACTCTTTCAAAGCTAATTCCATTATCAGACAGGGTTTGCTACATAAAGAAAGAACATATGAAATTCAAAAGGTCTTTTCATGAGATATATGTTTTTATCAATTGGTAAATACACAGTTCTGTCATCTGTGTCACCCTTTTCTGGTTTTGAAGTACCTGGCTGAACATAAAAATGATGAGAAAACAAGTGATAATCAGTGTGACAAGATTGAAATAAAACCCTAATGACAACAAACAAAGTAATTCGAAAACAAGTTTAGATCTGTATGTGTAATATTTCTGAATTTAACAAAATATTCAATTTATACTATTTATACTACTATTTTTGTTACATACAGGATATTAGCAGAATTTTTGCTTCTTCAACAAAAGTAGTCCACAATGAAGCCAAAGCAGAATAATATGGAAGGCAGATGGGGCTAAAAGTCTTTAAACGCACTGTTTCAACATGCACAGCAGCCAATGAAGTTGATGTATTTGAGACTACTGTATATTTGGATATGTGATGCGATGGTACGTTGGTATATAGGTACACAACACATCAGACGTCATGTTTATTCATGAAGAATATCATAATGGTACACTGGTACGCATGTGTGCAAACATCAGATGTTATATTTGTATATTTGTTCATGAGGGATAATGCATGAGGGATAATTGGTATGGTGTGTGTGATGTCAGTCCTATGTCATGTTCTTTTTAGTTGTTTAGTTCATCATTCTTTCTCAGGTTGAAAAGTCTTAATTTACATTGTAACATTAACTTTAGCACAGCAGTTATCAGTAAAGCAACGGCGCAATAAACTAAAGAAAAGAATGTGGGTAAATCTGCTTTTAAAGGGGTCATATGATGTTGCTAAAAAAAATTATTTTGTGTATTTGGTGTAATGAAATGTGTTTATGCAGATTAAGGTTAAAAAAACACATTATTTTCCACATACTGTACATTATTGTTTCTCCTCTATGCCCCGCCTTTTTGAAACGCGTCGATTTTTACAAAGCTCATCGGTCTGAAAAGCGAGGTG